CATTCTCCTGTACATTCTAACTATGTTTCATGTGTTTGACTTCAGAGATCCTGCTGTTTGATGCTGTGCCTAAGGCAAGAGTATCCTGTGTGCTTTGGGCAGATGTTTTCCCTCAACAATAACTGTAAATAATTTATTATTGCAATAAATGGAGTATCCCTTCATGTAGACTGAGGTGCTGCAGGCACACAAACATCAGGCTCTTGGCTTCACCTAAATCAGCGAATAGTAGCTGGAAAATTTCTGAATTACTGCAGGTTTTAGTAGCTGAACAATGAAACTCTTGTGGAGGTACCACTGAGCAGCACTTGAGCAGAGGGGTATGGGAGCTCGTCTGCATTTGACTTGGCTTAAAGCAGCTCCACCTGCCACTGACTACTAGAAACTCCTTATTGTGTCCAGGTTGTATCAAAAAAAAGAAGGTAATTTTTGAATCAGAAGTCATTCTCCTGGAATTAACATTACTGTGACTCTGCCATTGACATTGCCTCTGAGAGCATGTTCAATCAGCAAGAACGGTTGTGTTGGCCGGTGTTTAATAAGAGGCTGCATGGCAAGTTACCGAGCTCTGGGACTCTATCATCCACCTGTCGTCCCACCTCTGTGTAAGTTCAAGGGGAAACATCCAGGCTGTAGGGGTCTTCGGTGTGATTTGGGACCAGCCTCAGCCTGCCCTGTCTCTGCAGCAGGGCAGCACAGCACACTGTGATGGGCATGAAGCCACCAGTCATGGTTTGGCTCAGCAAAGCTGGCAAAATAACAGACCTTTCCAAAGGAGTTGCAGGATTGGTTAAGTCAGAGTCAATCTGTGGAAATACAAACCCTGGTATCTTTTGTTTTACTTTGATAAAAGAGAGAGAGATATCTTTCAAAAAGCAGCATCCTGTGTAAACTAAGATTTAAACTGAACATTATTCCTAGTCATGCAGGAAGTCCTGAAGAAAAAGAACTATGGATAATCAGTTAAAAGAACTGACAGATACCCTGATGTGTTGATCAGTAGTAATACCTAATTTCTATTTCAAGTGTGCTATAATGGATTACCATATAGATGCAGCAAAGCACTAAGCATTAACTAGATCTATGTGTTTTCTGAAAAAGCAATATTATTTCACACTGTGGGGTTTCTTAAAATATTTCTTGTTAGTCTGCTGTGAAACCAGAACCAGGAGTCAATGGCCGGTGTGGATTCACAGCGGTGCTGCTCCAGCTCTAGGCTGGAGTGGAAGCAACTGTCATTTGTTTTGTAGGAAGAGCAGGATGTGTGTTTAGAACACCAGGGGTTGGGAGGGCATAGAAAATGCTGTTGGAAATGAGATGTTGGCAGGGCAACAGCTGGAGCTTGCTCACTATGTCCATGCTCCCCTGTCACGCTGTGACACCACCTGAGGCTGGTACTCCTGTACACATGGGAAATTCCTGCTTAAAACTTGTTCTAGCTGTTACTTTGAATTCACAAGTTTTATTTAATAGTGTAGAGTTGTAACCAGGATAACTTGTTTTGCATTGCAGGAGAGAGTGTGGGCTCTGAATTCAGGTTCTTCCTATTGGTGCTGATGTGCTGCAAAGCTTTGCTGTCTTCACTGGGAGGTGCAGGCAGTGCAACCTGGTTACTGTGGGAGCACAGGCAGGTGATTAACCACATCTTTGCATTGTTTCAAAGTGCATCATACGTATACCATTCCTGGGTTTTACATGCTGAAACAGAGCAGCATGGGAAATGACTGAAGTGTCTCAATTTTTGCTGATGAAAACATTTTGGGGTATGGAAGCATTCCTTAGATGGGAACCTCTGTCCTCTTACTATCTATTTCAACCCTTGAATTGTTTTGATGCAGTCACCTGAGAAGGGTGTTTGACTGTGTTTTATGAAGAACACCCCCCCATAAGCATGTTCTTCCTTCCCCAGCCCTGCCAGCTTCATGCAGTTCAGTTGAGCTTGTTGTTCCTGGGGGTGGTTGTACTCCACAACAGCATTTGTTTTCCAGTTTTTCGCTGGGCACAACCCACAGTTCACTAACACTTGGATATGCAAGTTGTTACTAAGTTCTTTTTCAGAATGAGTCTTTATTATGCAGCTTTGCCACTTTACCATCTTACAACTTGTCCTAGCTCACTACCTGGACGTGACCTTTGTGTTCAGGTGTAGGTGACCGTGTGTGACCCAGAGGATGTTCATGCTGTGCTGCTGGGGCTCTGCACTGTGCAGCACGGGGCAGTGAAACCCGGCTTCCCTCAGTGTGCTGTTTCTGGAGTGACTGCTGGTTAGTTACTGTGAGCTGAACCAGCTGGGATGTGTAACGGCAAAACTGCCCCCGGAACACAGCTGAAGCTCTTGGAATTACGTATGGGTTCTTCTGGCAGCTTGGGATAGCTTCCTTGTCATCAGATCGCTTTCACAAACTTTCTTTCCTAGCACAGGAGCATGCCATGCCGCTGTTCACATCTAGTGAAGCAGACACGTTTTCCAAATACAGTTTTTGTTTTACAGTAAGGAATTTTACTGTGACATCCGAGGTAACTGAGACGTGGTTTCACTGGTAGGATTGCCAGATTTTTACAAGCTCCTGGTAAAACATTCTGATACAGAAGTGGCAGTTGAGTTTTTGGAAGTTTAATACAATTGCTTCTCAGAAGTGAGTGTTTTGAAATAAGTGAGAAAGGATTTATATACAAAGACAAGCTGAAGGTACCTCATTCATGTGGTCTGTGAAAGGAAGCTGGTTTTGCTCTAATGGTCTGTTCTTCTTATAATGGCTTAAACAATGGAAACAAAATGTATGTGGTTTTGACCAGTTTTCTGTGACAAATGTGAAGACATTGGAAGGTTTCTCCCTGCAGTGTGTTCTGATGCTTGAATCCAGTCAGATTTTGCTGCCAGTTTGTCATAGGGTTTTGTTTAATGGAGCCCTTCCTCTTGTGTTACGGGCTCTGATGTGTGCTGGGGTTCAGACTGAACCCTGCATGCAGAGTACCACCACTCTTGCAGTGACTTGAAGTGTTCGGGATTCAGGCAGAAGCTCCTTTCTGCCCTGTGCCGAGTTCAGTAAAGCTGAACTCAGTCAGAAATGGGCTGGAGAAGTGGTGGGCTGCAAGTATTTCAGTATTTAGATGGATAATGATAATTCTCTGTCTGTGGATCCTGCAGTCTGGTTGGCAGAAGCGTGGCCCCTTCATACCAGGTAAAGCCCCAGTGCGACTCATGGCCTCATTTTTAGCCTGTCAGAGCCTTCATCCCAAGCGCATTCTGCTGCCCATGGATGGGGAGCCAGACCTCTGGCCACTCGCCCCGCTCCTGCAGTCCCTGCTCCACAGTGCCATGGAGGTGAAACAAAACACACCACAGCATGGAAGGGACAGGCCCCATTTCTGCTGCAGGTAAACCTTTAGAAAGGCCAAATGCTACTGGAGATCGTGTGCCTGGTGACGGTGTAAAGAAGGCCAGGCTGTCGGTGGGACCCGAGGTCTAGTTCCCCAAGTCTATGGACGTGCTGTGACTGCCATCCTCCACCATGGAGAAAGGAATGCTCCATTTCCAGAAAGAGTCTTTTGAGTGTTGTACATCATTTCTGAGGTGGTGTCAAAATAAACAAGTCTGTCCTATCCCATCTCTGGAGCAGCTGTTTCCAGCAGCAGTACTGATTCATGTGTTGGCTGCCTCTGTTGCCAGTGCTGGCTTTCTTGGCTGTGATGCTTTACTTCCTCTTGTGAGCTTTTATGTGCAGAAGACCCACAAATGGGTCACCATTGCTTAAATGACCTGTCATTCATTTGCATCCTGCATGGAGTATTTCTGGAAACTTAACAGTGCTTTGTTGCTCAGAACTTTGTTCCAGTGATGCTGTTTGGTAATAACAAGGAGCTCTGTTAGTCATTTGTAGCATTGTTTAATCTCATTTCCAAAAGCAGGTGTTGAAAGCTAGTTTTCCATTTGAATGTATCTTCTTAATTTCATGTTTCAATGGCTGGAAAGGTGTGAGATCAGATGTGTTTTTCTGTGGGATCCTGTGAAGCCATGTTCGTTCTCTCATTGTTTTTGAGAGCTGAGCAGCAGTGAGTTCCTGGCCCTGTGCTACTAGGGGTGCCAACCCTAGTCTGTACTGCTAATATGGTAAGAAAGAAGAAAACAGGGGCAAGCCTGCTAACTGAAAGTCCTTTTAAAAGTCATATTTACCCAGGTAAGACCCTGGATAGTTTTGATTTGTCCGGATTATTTAATAGCATTGCCATCCACTAAACTGACAAAGAGCATTTGGTAGCCCCAGCTGTTCTTTACAACCAAGATGATATGGCTCTGTTCAGGAAAGCACTCAGGAATGTGCTTAAACTGCGTTGCTTGTGGTGCCCTGCAGGTAATGGAACTGAGGGGGAGTGGGTTTGACCACAGACTTTCTCCCTGTTTGATCTGCCTCTGGTTCAATCGGTCCAAACCTACAGAGGCCACTCGTGCTGTTCCACAGAAGAGCTTCCCTGAGCGCTGCCAGTGAATGAACTGAGTCCAGCTTTGTGCAGCCTGGTTCCGCTCCCCAGCTGAAGCACATCACTCGCTGCAGAGATCAGCACAGCGCTGTTCAGAGCCCCTAACCTGGGGAGAGGCAGACCTGAGCCCCAGGAGCTCAGGATCTGGGCTGTATCGACCCAGCCATTACCAGTCACTTCAGGGGGAGTGTAACCCAAAGGGAGCTGCTTAGAAATCTGCAGCTTCCTCATTGGAAAGCAGTTTATATTCGGGAACACCAGGTTTTGGAAGGTGATGGGAAATGGAAAGCAGTTCATGACAGTGTCATGGTGTTTATTCAGGACCATTCCAGGTATCTTTCTCTCTTATAAGACAGTAAAGTAATGGGCAAGAGTTATGCTATGATACATGTTTGCTTTCTATTGTGTTCTCAATGTATATATTGCCATTTCATTTATGTCTTGTGTATTAATTTCTCTTTATCTTCGGAATGAGCCTGTTTATTACAGAAAATGTGACTATTTAGTTTTGTTTCCTGCAGAAAATATTGCAGCTGCTACCTGAGAGGATTTTTTATCGATGGCATTTTCGCAGTATAGGTAAGAAGGAATAGTTTAAAACTTCTAGTTGAATAAAATCAGTGTTTTCTGTAGTCACTTCTGGTTCTGCAGGTCCTGCTAACCACAGACTCCCATAGTATTCCCATACAAATAGTAATTACACAAGACTTGCACCTGAAAAATCTTGAAGCATATGGAAAATGCTTTTACCTGCTGTAAGAGCTCTGTGTGTGTTCCTTGGTTTGTGTGTGTTTGGTTGCCTGCTTCACTTTGATTTTGCACAGATGCCTTTTAAATTTTATGTTCTTGGATTTACCTGGGTCCTGTTCCCTTTCTTCTCTTTCACATGCTGGAAGCTGTTGAGAGGATGGGAGTCATAAACCATCACACCTTTCCTAATTAGGTCTCCCTTCGTGTTCACAGACTAACACTAAAGTTAAGATTGAGGAGGGTTGTGGAATCTCTATATTATGATGGTCTTTGGCAAGTGACCGTGGGTGAGATGCCTGTACGGACTGGATGCACTAAGTGCGGCTCTGTGCTCACGGTGGGGGCTGTGCCGGACTTGACCCTTGCCACCTCCTGGAAGCTCATTCTGTAAAACCCAGGCTGTGAACCGCGCACTGCTTGGTAGTCAGGCACAGGCTTTTGCTGAACACGGGGCCAAGCATAGGGGCGGCGCA